TTAATAAATTTTGACAAGAACTAAGTAACCATTGCATAAATGTAAATACAAATATACGTGTTAACAAAACTGTATACACACATATATACATACATAATACATAAATCAATATATGTATATGAATATGCATACAGAGGTACATACACATGTTATTTGAACAAGTATGATTACAAACGATGTTTACTTCTTAATCTCAATGTTACATTTTTAAATGTAAGAAAAGCATTCTTCTTAATGTACTGTGTTACATACGTTATATGTTGTTATAAGATTATATTTACTACAGAAGTAAACAAATATTGTTTTTTATGTCATTATATGCGCGCAAAGTATTAATAATACTAATAGAAATGATATGATAATCAAACCAATTTGTATTAGTATTATCAACATGAACATATTAATACAAATATTTCGTGCTTTCTTTTTACATTTACAATTCTTTAAATACAATGAAGCAATGCATTATTCATTTTACCATTGCGATCAAACACTCATAATTACTATATATTTATTGTTTTTAAAATTTCTCAAATATCAAAACAGTATGCGTTATGGTATTACTTTTTGGTTTGATTTCTACGTGTTTTGTAATTTTACACTTGTAATTTACATTATATTATGTGTACATACCTAAAATTGTGTATGATTAAAGAAACATGTACGTACATATAAATGACCAGTACATATATATAGTAATTTGTTTAACAGTATAAGGGAAAGTCAGAAAATGGAGATAATTTTACCAAATGTAAGATATATGTCAAATGTATTAGATCCAATATGATTTGTGAGTAGTTTACAATTTGTACAGTAACAGTATGTTCTTGAATTTGTAAATTTTTAAGAAAATATATAAACTTCATTTTTATAAATTGATTAATTTACATATTGATCACTGCTAGTATCTTCTTCTTAATTTATGACATTCATAATACACTTTCTTAGTTTCTAGTTCTTTTTTCATTAAAAGAAAATATAAAAAGTGTTGAATTAATTATAATTATAATTAATAACGTGTACATTCTTATTAAGTGATCAATAATTACTAATATTTAATAAGTCTTCAAATATTTTTTATTAGAAAAACAATTAATATATTTTATTCATTGTTAAAACATGTTTTATATAATCAGACACCAAAGAATATCTTTTCGTGGAATATAATTACAGTATATTTATAATATATTATAAGTCACTTAGATCATATGTACTAAATATATCACTATTGCACTAAATACACAGCAAAAGTATCTTCGATTTTCAACTTCCCCCATTTGTATATATTTTTATAAAATGTCTGTGTTTTTTGCATATTATTTTGAATTATATATTATATTAAAATATAACGAATATACTACTTTAAGCTGTAAACTTAAGTAGATTTCAGATCACTGTTAGTACTATTATATCATGAAATACAATCTATTTACACAAAGTAATAGTTACCTGTCCTTAGATAGTCAAAAAAGTTAGAAGTGCCTGTTGAAAATACAAGCATGTTACACAGATCATTAAATATACACAACGAACATAATAGAAAGTTCTTATTATTACATATACATATGGCAAATCTAAAGAATCAACAGAATATTCTTTGTATGTCTAATGGTATATTGACTGGTAAATATATCAATCTCACATATAAACACTCTCATCTATATAGATAACTTTCATTATATAACATTGTAAATGTAAATATATTGCAGATAACGGAAAAAGTAGTGAACTACTTCTTCGTTCTTTTGTTCTAATCGATGTTCTCACCATTTCCAAGAATATCGCTTTTAAAAACGATTCATTTTTTTGTATAAATGAACCTTCTTAATCTATATTTTTCAAGTAAAGAACTATTTATGCAAATTTATGTAAATATACGAAATTGAAAGGATTTAATAAATGATTAAAGTCTATTATTTTACAAGTAAATTGCACCGTAATATTATATAATAGAATTTTCAAATTAAAAACTATTAAAGTATGAGATGAGATTCTTCCTAGCCACGTAACAAATATATTTAAAGAAACATTGCATATTCTTATTACCTAGTTAGCATATTCCAATATTTTGATTGCCCTAGTTCTTCTTGATTAAATTAATAAGAAATGTAAATTCCAAAAAGACTGATTCAAAAGGTTCAACAAACGTCGTACTTATGATTAAATTTTACATTAAAAATTTCATAATTTCATGTTACATTATGATTGAATATGTATTAGTATTACAATCAATTAATATTCCATTAATTATATAAAACTTTACTTGTGTAAATATTTGTTTCACTTAACATTAAAAAACAAATATACTTATATTTGTGTTTCAAACTGTTTTTTTTTCCTGAGTCAAACTAGACTTAGCATTAATTTCAATTTCACTTAAAAGATATCAAAATGGAAGTAAATTTTGATTTTATATTGCACCTATTACACATAGATATGTTATGTTATATAAACTATATAATATTATTTAAATTTTTTTGCCCCTTTTCACACACTCTCCCTATTTACTGTACTGTTCTACTAATGATGTAAGTACTAAAAAAACTGATATAACCATTGTACAGAGAAGTTGGTTTTATAGTCTGTGATACCTGTTTTAAATAGAAAAATTGATATTTAATATGTAGTACGACCTTAAAATAGACTTTTAATATACAGGTTCGTTTAAGAGGTGTGATATAACAAAAAAATGAGATATTTTCATTAATAATACATTAATTCAAAGAATAACTTCAAAAGATTGCAGACAATAACATCTATTAGTCACATGAAAATTTAGCTATGCATACAACCATATAACTGCTTTTATTAGACTAAATCATGAAATTATCAATTAAGATCATCATGTTAATTACAAAATTTACCGAACACTTTTATATACAAATGACATATTATTAAAATTTCAATATTTTATTAATGTTGATGATAAAAATGTTGAACGAAATGCTTTCAGAATATTTTCAAACTAACAAAAGCGACATATAAATGTAATTAGATCCTTTTTTTTAACACGCATACGTTTATACATATTTATTCGTATAGTACGCGAAAAGTAATTTATTCAAGTTACTTGTTTAAAGTTTAAAATAATAACATTTTTTATTTTAATTTTTGAAATTTTTCT